CTCCTGCCACAGCCTCCCAAGTAGCTGGGACTACAGGCACCCGCCACAATGCCTGGCTATTTTTTGGTTGCAGCTGTCATTGTTGTTTGGTGGGCCTGGGCTGGGGATTCGAACCCGCCACCTTAGGTGTATGTGGCTGGCGCCTTAGCCACTTGAGTCACAGGGGCCGAGCCAAAGGTGGGTATTTAAATTAAAATTAATTTAAGTTAAATGCACTAGCCACATTTAAAATGTTCAAGAGCTTTATGTGGCTATTGATTACTGTCTTGGGCAGTGAGGATACAGAACATTTCCATCACTGCATAAAGGTCAATAATTTTCATCACTGCACAGCCTTGAAAGAGACATTTTCTAAACTTTTCAGATAAACTGCATTCCCTCCAAAGTATGAAGCTTTGTAAAAAGAGAAAAAAATATTTTCTAAATTTACCAACTTTAAATTTGCATAGCATATAGATGACTCATTTCTTATTTATAGCTAGATTAAAAATATTCTTCTAAAGGTTTTTTCTATACTTATTATTTCTTCTTTTCACACATAGGAATTTATGATTGCCTCTAGTTATAACATTACCATAGTAACTCATCCATAGTGGTTCATTTCTAAATTTCAAAGTCAAAGGTGCTATAGACATTTGGGCATTATTGCTAACTTGTATTTTTTACTGAAGGAAAAAGGCCTTGATTCATGAGGCAGGATTTAGTACTCTAGGTGAGTGATATCTTAATATGTCAAAACCAAATGCCACTTCTATATCCCAACTGAGCTACCATATTTTTTGAATTGTGATAAGGAAATTAGTAAATTGACTATATTCTCAAGAAACCTAACTAGATTTCAGACATATTTAAAACATTCTTGGCATGGTTTAATTTACTTGCTTCCGCTTTATCAGATATCATTATTTATTAAGCAGATGGTTGACAAAAGACTTGAGAGAGATACTGCTAGGAAGTGCCCAGTGTCCATCTGAAACAGGTGCATTGTTTTTTAGAATTATCATTTGCTTTATATCACTTTTGTATTCCTATGCTGTATTCTCAGCAAGTTTTGATCTTTTTCCTACTATAACACAGATGACAAATGACACACATGTCCATGATACCCTTGACCTGACTCAGGTATAATCTCTAAGGCTGGCTGTAATTCTCAAACTCTCACACTCAAGAGAGCACACTTCAGAGTACAAATGAGTCAAAGTATCATTGCATCAGTCTAGTTTTATAATTCTCTCATCCACAAACTTTGGTACCTTTCGCAAGCATGATTACATTTCTTGGTACATATCTCACAGATGAACTCACGCATATTCTTATGAGGTATAGTTGTGCAAATATATACTTTGCCTCCAGAGCAAGATTTTTTTTTTTGGAGACAGAGCCTCAAGCTGTCCCCCTGGGTCGAGTGCTGTGGCATCACAGTTCACAGCAACCTCCAACTCCTGGGCTCAGGTGAGTCTCCTGCCTCAGCCTCCCAAGTAGCTGGGACTACAGGTGCCTGCCACAACGCCTGGCTATTTTTTGCAGCCATCATTGTTGTTTGGCTGGCCCAGGCTGGATGTGAACCCGCCACCTTAGGTGTATGTGGCTGGCGCCTTAGCCACTTAAGCCATAGGCACTGAGCCCAGAGCAAGATTTTAAGATGCTAGAAGAACAGGACACATCTTAGGCTTCTTCTGTTTTCCTAGGATATGTGGTATAGTACTTAATAAATGCTCTTTATTTTATTTTTTATTGTTTGGGATTCATTGAGGGTACAAAGAATTAGATTATACTGATTACATTTGTTAGCTAAAGACCCTCTTATAATTGTGTCCCGCCCCAAAGAGGTGTGCCATACACTGTGACCCCCACCTCCCTCTCACCTCCCCAATAAGTGTTCTTTTTATGCCCCTTCTTGCTCTTGCCTGCTAAAGAATTTGCCATAGATAACAGCTTGTTTTAATGCAAGCACCGTAAATTATATGTAGAGGTTTAGCAGTAAACTATAGTTATGATTATGGTGTCATGGCACAGACTACACCATCCACTAGGGGTTTGCTTCAGGTTTAGATAAAATGCAGGCAAGGGGGTGGTGCCTGTGGCTCAAAGGAGTAGGGCACTGGCCCCATACACTGGAGGTGGTGAGTTCAAACCCAACCCCAGTCAAAAACTGCAAAATAAATAAATAAATAAATAAATAAAAAATAAATGCAGGCAAGACCCAACCCTAACATATCTGGGTGCTCTATTTGTACTCTATATAAACGAGCTCTTGAGTAAGCAGCCCAGTTATTATCAATATCCAATTATTATTAATACCTTTATGGCTTCCTCTTGGAAGGCCAGGGACAGTAGGGAAAAACAAAAAGGTATTAGGAGCCCTCTTTGAGAACTCCCAACTCTTTTTAACAGCTATTACTGCCTTGGAAAATTAGATTTTTCCACTGTATATTTTTTATGGGCACAGAATAAAATAAGAGAAAAATTAGTGTAGCATTACAGATTTCAAAAACATTACATAAAACAAAGTATACAATGTAGCCACTTTAAAGAAGAGGTATAATTATAAAATATTCACATCTAAAGGCTAACCTATTCCTTCCAGTTTTTAGATCTTCAGCACAAAAAGTCCATTAATAAAGGAATTATGCCAGGCACAATGGCTTATACCTACGCCTGTGAACTGTGGAAGGCTAAGGCAGGAGTATTGCTTGAGGCCAGGTGTTCAAGGCTTTGTGAGCTCTGATTGTGGCCCTGTACTCTAGCCTGGGTGACACAATGAGACTCTATCTCAAATAAATAAAAATTATGTTTACTGTATAATGTTAAGTAGAAGAAATATCTTCCCTCTCCATCTGAATTCTAAATCATATGCATAAGATACTCGTTAGTATGCTGTATGATTATAAGTAGACAGGGAAAAATATACAAAAATAAAAATAGTATAATATTTAGGCAGATGGGATGGGTGATTTTTTTTATTTTTTTCAACAATGTCTTTAATATTACAAAATTGCATCATAGAAGTTTCAATGAAGCTTTAATACACCGTAAGAATTTCTGATCCAATTCTCATTCATGTTTCCTATATCTAATTCTTTACTCCTACCAAGAAGAGGAAAATGGTTTCTCTATTTTGAGGGCACAAATAAGACATGGTAATTACATGTCAATAACAACTTTAAAAGGTATCGGAGCTTTGTTTCGGTTAATAAGGCTTTGCTTATCTATCTGATTTATACCATATCAAACCAAAAGTCTAAGAAAAATGAGGAAAGGTTCTAGTCTAGTCTGCTGTAGGGAAATTGCTCTCTTTTAGTCCATAAGCGGGAAGGATGGCTGTTACCACCCTTAATATAATTCTACATCCCAGCACTTTAGATCCTCTTCTCTTGCAGTAATTTATACATGT